GTGCTGGCCACGTGGGACACAGTGGCCTTGACCACACCACTGGCTGGCCTGTGCCTATTCTGTCTCTGTGTCTGCGGGGAAATCAAAGCAATGACAACGCATTGTTTCCCTGGGCCTCCTTCTCCTCTTTCCTCACTCCTCATGGCAAATAAGACACATTCTACCTGTCTTGTTCATCCACGTGTCTGCAAAACCTGAGCAGAAGCACAATACAATGACAGAAAAGGATGGATCAGAGGCAAAGGGCGATCAGATGCCACTAGGCAAGAGAGAATGATCTGGGATACGTTAAAATACATCGGGTCATTGGAAAAGCCAGGGCGCGTTTTTGCATAGAAAAATACATCGTGACTTTTCTGCTGACCCAATAATTTCATGCTTCTGGGAGAAGAGCAAAACCCTAGAGCAAAAAAGGTAAACGGAACCATGTCCCCACAGTCACATGAGGAAGAGGGCTTAGGAAGTAGAGAAAAGGGAACCAAGGGTGAGAAAAATGAGCAGCTGAAAGAACGAACTCAGGGATCTTCTCAAACCCAACGGGGAATCTGGACAGGAAGTCGAAGCCCTGGAAGACTGTCAGGTGAGGAAAGACGGAGACCAGGTTCTCGGAAGGGAAACCTCTGACTGGAGACTCCAGACTCTTCTTTAGAGAAGACAGAGTCTTAGAGAGTATATTTCATGAGAATGGAGACAGGAAATGACCCAGGCATAAAACAGAATTTGTTTAGAGGTCAACGTCAAGAAAGAACCTGTTCTGAAAGGGAAAGTCAACGAGATGAATAACCTTTTATCTGTAGCCTCATCCTGGGGATGTGCCTGATATGATCATGTTTTTGTTTGTTTGTTTTGGTCACAAATAGGACTTTTTGTCACTATGAAAAGTGAACTTTAACAGGTTCTTGGACTGGTGGTTCTTCTCCATCAGCTCGTTCGACATTGGCACCCGTCTCACCCCCAGGAGCTTTTCCAGAGCTACGACCCTCACCATGAAGCTCCATGAGTTTCCCCAACTCAAACTTGGGCTTCTTGGGCATTTTGACTTTCCCGACGAAGACGTCCTGAGAGGGTAGATGGACGGGGAGGCCTTTTCTATGTCTTTCTCAGTGCCGTCTGGAATCGGCTTATTGACCACTTCTTTCAAGTCATTGGTCAGCCCAACGGAACAGTGTGTACAAAGGATTGATCATGGGGTTCGACAGGAAACATTGACCTCGGTTTTCCCAAGAATAAAGACCAATTAGAAACGTGACTCTGCACAAATGCTCTTCTCAAACACGAGCTATGTAAAATTTGGCTGAAAGTCTCCGACATCCTCCCTTTCCCAAGGGTCTTGGGATTTAACGTGTCCTGGGTACAGGACGGCCTTCACGGACATCAGTCACGTATTCTTGCACTCCGGCCTTGAACTCTGCCAGCTGGGACTCCTCTGGGCAAGTCCCCATATCTGAATGGATTGGCTGGCATTAAAGGACTGTAAGGATTTCTCCTCGGGAAGCTGAGTGTGGGCCTGCTGTCTGTCGCTGATCAAGTGGTCTAAGGACACTTAACTGCTCTCTGTTCCAGGAAGGCCGTTCAAGTCAGAGTCCAGTGAGAAGGATGAAAACCCACGCGTCGCTTTAAATGAGGGATTTCTTCATACTTCTGTTCATTGTAGAGGGTTAAAATAACAACATGGACAGCCTGACTGGGAATTTCACACGTATTATCTTCCTTAATCCTCATGTCATTTCCATAAATAATTCAAAGCACAGGTAAGTTAAAGAACTTACCTGGGTGACCTATCACAGAACCAGAATTTAAACTCAGGCTGAGACATAATCCGTAATTTCTTTTTTTATTAGAGAGAGGTTTTTGCAATAGGGTGAGTGCACTGCTGGAGAGACAGAGAGACAGAGAGATACAGAGAGACAGAAAGTGAGAAATTGCCCCCCAGGGGGGATGGCCATACCACAATCCCTTCTCCTCCATTCTCCTTTTGGGATTTTGGGCACACACGCACACACACCTGGCGTGCATTTAAACCACCAGGTCTGGGACTCAAACTGCAGTTGACTACGTGGGAGTTCAATGACATAGCCATCACGCCATCTGCGGGTCCCCAAAATCCATCTTTCTAACATGTGCTGACTAGGGTCAGGGTCTGCAGAACAGCAGGGGAAGCCCCCCGCGTGGCTTTCTTAGGGCGAGCCTCGTTTGTCTCCTCACTACTTCCACCCTTCTTCCCAGTGCTCCCAGGTGCTCAGTGCCATCCTCCGAACTGCGTGTTCCAGGCCCGTTCAATGACAAAGTGATCTTTCTAGCCACGGTGACAGAGACAAAGAAAGGCACGTAACATGAGCTCAGCCAGTGAGCCATCACCCTGGGATTCACCCTGTCTGTCACCGTCAGAATCCACCCGGCTTCTGTAGCCATGTGCAGAGACAGAGCGTGGAAGAGGGGACGGAGCAGGGCGTGATGTCAGAGGTAAGCTGACAGGACTCAGGGTGTGGGGAGAGTGAGCCACTAGCATCGGTCCACTGTTCTGCATGACAGGAGAACCTGAAGATTGAATTTGGGCTTCGGAACCAGACTGAGAGGGGTTCAAATCCTGGCTCTGCTGTTGTTTAGCTGTGGGGTTTTCAGAAAAATGATTTAACCTCTTTGAGGTTCAGACTCTTCATCCTAAAATAGGAACAATACGAGGTTCCTCTCTCAGTGGGACCTAGTCCGCTGCAGCCCCCTCTCCTGCAGTCCCCCTCCCTGTTGGGATCTGAGACACACGTATGCGCAGTATCTAAGCCACTAGGACTGGGACAGAACCCCACTCGGCCATGTGAGAGCTGGCTTCCTCTGTGGGGCGCCTGACCGCTATCCACGGGGCCGGCCTCCAGAGTGACTGTGCACATGAGCGGGGCAGGACATGGGGCAGCTGGCACAGTGACAGCAGTGGAATGCGCACCTGCCGCCTGTCACGGCAGACGGTCTAAACCTGGAGCTCTCCTCAGTGCCAAGGCCTTTCACAGCTTTGTCTGGCTCATGCAGCGCTGAGCAACCTGCTGCCTGCAGTGTGAGTCGGAATCTTGGAAACTAGACCTTTCAGATAGTTTTAAATGGTTCTGAGCGAACCGTACTCTTCGGACCGGGCTGACCAGAAAGCCTTGCTCTGATGCGGGCCGAGCTCCAGCCTAGGCCCTCCCCTTTGGCACCTACCGCCGACTCCTGGCCACTCCTGTAGAGCTCGGGCAGCTGTGTGAGGGTCTCTGCAGACACATCCTTCTCCAAGACGCCGTAAATGACCGGAGGGGCGGATGTGAAGAGGAGGTTGAAGAAGATCAAGACCCAGTAGTCAGTCATGGAGGTTCCTGAAAACCCACAAAAGAACTGGTACCAGAAAAGGAGGTTCACATAGGCCTGGGGACACAAAGAGGGACATCGGGGTCTTAGACACGGCAGCCCAGCCATGGTCCCACTCCCGCCCATGACCGCCGTGAGCCTGGCGGCCTCGGTCACAAGGGGAGGCCACAGCTCGCCCTGCAGCTTTCCTGGGAATTTTATTAACACAGACAAGCATGCTTGCGCGTACACACACACACACACACACACACACACACACACACACGCAGAAACTATGTGGCACTAGCCCTGTTCTAAGTGCTTTGCAAATCATCCATTTTATCCTCCTTCACACGGGAATTGTCCCCATTTTGCAGCTGAGGAACCTGAATGCAATGAACTGAATATCTACCCTCTCACTTCGTATGCTGAAATCCTAATCTCCACTTTGATGGTGTCAAGAGATGAGGTCTTTAAGAGGGCATTAGGGGGCCAGATGGTATAGCGGTCATTGCTGGACTCCTACATGGCCAACCATGGTTTGAGTCCTGGACCCGGTGGCTTGAAAATCACACTGGGCACATGTGCGTGTGTGCCCAAGATCCTGGAAGGAAAATGGAGGAATGGGCACTCCCCCAGGGGGTAATTTGTCACTTTCCCTTTCACTGTCTCTCTCTCTCTCTCTGAGCACTTGTGCCCTCAGGCAAAAACCTTTTTTAAAAAAAAGTCTTTAGACCCTGATGGTAGAGCCCTAGTGAATGAGCTTAATGTCCTTATAAAGGGGACCCCTGAGAACCCCTGCTGTTTGACCATGCAGGCGCCAGAGCAGACCTCCAGCCTCCTGAGAAATGACCCTCTGTCCCTAACATGGCACCTGCCCATGGACTTTATTCAGTAGCCTAAGTTGACTAAGACGCTGGGGCACAGAGAGGCTGAGCGACTTGCTCAGAGCCCCCCAGCTAGGAAGTGCAGGACTAGCTGACGGTGATGAGAAGGCCCCTGGGGCTGGCGCCTGGCAGGGCAGGTGACCCACACATGCTCACGCCCTTGCTTCTGGGCCAACGTCACCTCTTAGTGATGAAATGGGAGCGGGGCCGGCAGAGGGCCAGCCACCCAGTCTGCCTAGGTTACAGCCTTCTTGGGCTAAAGTGGGGCCAATTCAGGCAAACTGGGACAGTGGGTCACCCGGAGAGCAGCCCACATACCCCATGTGGCTCCCTCCAGTCTCAGACAGACAAAGCCCACGACGGCAAATGCTGGCTCTCTGGACAGGCCGCAGGAAGGCTGTGGACTGGGGTCTGGGGGCTTCGCTTCAAGTCAGGGGACACTTGCTATTGTTTGACTTTAGGCAGTTTTCCCAACCAGGTCAGAATCGTGGGTTCCTCCTCTGTAAAATGGGAATATACCATCTCGGGGTTTAGTATCATGACCAAGCTGGAGGGGGCTCACGACCTGTAAAGCGTCTTCTGAGCGTTAAGGTGTTGCCATTGTTGGCACCACAGCCAGGCCAGGCCAACTGAGGGCGAGGAGCACAACTCCTAGACCCAAGCTTCTCTCCTCTGGTGCCCTCGGACACACACAGCTGGGTGCACGGGGCCTGGGGCGCTACCCCGGCGAGTGGGTCTGCCATCCATGTCAGGGCCACAGAAACTGCCCAGCCTCAGAAACAGCCATTGTCTAACTGGGAGATGGCAGGTCAGCAGCGAGGCTGGAGGAAAGTTGTGCAAACGGTCGTCCAAGGGTCACCAGGTAGAACGTGCACGGGGCCAGAGCCCTGGTGCTCGCCCTCTGCAGACACATGCAACCTCTCCACGGTCCACAGCATCTTTCCCTCATGTCAGAGCTTCTCAACCCTGGGGTGCACCCAGAGGTTGAAGAGGGCACTGACAGGAGTGGCCTGCATCAATAGGGAGGAGGGCAGGAAAATGAAAAATAAGAAAACCCAAGAACCTGGAAGATGGATCCCTCTCTAAAGTCACAGTCTGCTGAGTCCTGACATGTTAAATTAGAATCCACAGCTTTCCCTAGACACACAGGCAGCCAGAGGCACAGGGAACATGTTTGTGAAGGATGGATTTCATTAAAATGGACTTAATGTGCTAATTATAATTAGTAAACTGCTGGGAGCTTCCTAAAAAGTTCTTAGCAATATAAGAAAAAGAAAATGTGCACACACATACACCCCTAAATTACACACAGATCACGCATATAGGGTACCCTAAAAAAGAACCCATTCGTTTTCCCCTCAAAGATGGCATTTCAACAGAGTGCTGTAAATTCATATCTATGACTAACATACTATGCTTTATTTCCCTAAAAATCAGGATGCAGAGAACTCAGCCCCAGTAGAAGAGACTTAAGTGAAGCATTCTAAGATCAACATATTAATTCACAAAAAAAGAAACTAAAATTTAAGTGCATCCTGACTGTGCCCTTTCACAAACGATATAATCCAAATAAAGTTATTATAAATGCCCACCCAGCACAGATGTGTGGGCTGGCGAGGGAGTCCCTGTACACGTGGTGCCAGCTACAGGCTAGGGCATTCCACGGCTGGAGCTGTGTCCGCAGTGTGTCCTTTGGGACATCCATTTGGGGACAGCATGAATTTATTTTGTATCTCTAATAAAATGGAAGCAAACCCTTCTCTACTGACAGAATTAAACATTTCATAACTCTGCCTGTCACAACCTTTTCGTGGAAGGTCAAAACGCAGACGCTAAGTGAACCAGACAGGACTTAATTGAATTGAAATGCAGAGGGAGTAGAAAGTTAGCAGATGGCCAGGCCCAGCAACTTGCGGTCAGCGGCTGAAACCGAGCACTGGCCCAGATTCTCTGGTAGGCGGCAGGCCTGCCCCTGGCTGCTCCCAAACGTCAATAGGCAAAGTGGATTTAACAAGGACACTTCTTCTCCATCTCTGAGGACACTCGGATGGGAAGGTGGGCAGCGCATAGGGACACATGCCCTGCAGGGACATACCACATTCTTGTAGAAGAAGTAGAGGATCATGTTGGAGAGCCGCGTGTAGCACCAGTGCCCGTGGACGAGGAGGAGCTTGCAGAGGTGTCTGAACTGGGAGATGGCGAAGTCGCTGGCCATCACAGCCTGCAGAGACAGCGGGGAGGGGACGCCCTGAGCAGTCGGACGGGCTGACCACGGCTACGCTCAAACAAGTCACACCCGCTGTGACCCGGACATGCAGATCACACACACACACGCTGGCAGGAACAGAAGACCACCATAAATACAGAGCTCGAATGGACGGTCTGGAGTTACTACTTGGCTTTGCAGTGTAGCCACGTGGAACTAGACTTTTCTTTGGCTTTCTGGATGTGATTTCGGATGCGCCTGGCTTGAAGGCAGCCCCCAGAAAGTGCCCTGTCTTCCCCAGTACACTGTTTGCACCTGCTTCCCCACAGGGAGGGAGGGTCAGGAGGATGGCGGTCCTGACCCCTCTGCCTTCAAGGAGAGACTTGAGCGTTCATCTTTCAGAGAGATGCCGTCATTGGGGGAAGCCCTAAGTCTTGTATCCCACCTTCCTCTGACAGGATCTGCTCCGTACAGAAAAGCAGTCTTTGGACTCCCAAGTTTTTATCTGAATTTTATGCCTGAGATACTTTGCAACACACACATACATGGGACACTCCCACCTCTCCCATCCTCAATCTCTCATACCTTCTCTCTTGCTCTTTCTGTTTAGATTTTTGCCATAGGGTGCATTTGCTTGCCACAGAGACAGAAAAGGGGGGAGATATGAACCTCCCAGGAGGGATGGTCATGCCGCAATCCCTTCTCCTTCATTCTCCTCTGGATGTGTGGCACACATGGACACATGCCTGGTATGATTTTTTGAAGATGTCAAAGACTCAAAGAGTGAGACTCAAACCACAGTTGGCCATGTGGAGTTCAGTGCCTTAACCACCACACCACCTGCTGGCCCCAGTTTCTCTCTCTTACAAGATCTTTAAGTACTTCATTCAAAATTTGTGGCAGCTTCTTGCAGGGTGAGAATTCAGTTATTGCAGGGCTAACACGCATTCCTACTACCTAGAGCAGCTCTAGTTTTCAAACTGAACAAGTGAATCACACAGCTAACACTGCCCAGCAATATGCCATACCACTCAGAGTGAACAGTGAGTGAATGAATAAACTCCATGCCCCCACGCCAGGGCTACCACACAGAGATTTCACAGTGGGGAATGCTCCTCCGGGTGGGCAGGTCAGAGTCTCTCACTTACATGCACGACATCCACTCACCTGCATGCCCTCTTGGCCCAAGATGCCTATCCCGATGTCTGCCACTTGTATCATGCTAACATCGTTAGCACCATCACCTTTGTGGGATAAAAAAAAAAGAAAAAAAAAGTTGAGCAGCATATGAGGAGTAAAGAAAAGACATAGGCTTTGCAAGTCAATGGGGGCCACTCAGGGAACAAATAAATCCCTCAAAGTTCATCCCATTTCTCCAAGTTGCTAGGATGCGAGGTAAGGAGAAATTAAATGTGGCATCCACTGCCACCAAGGAGAATTCCAAATCAACTGTGCCTTAAAATCCACCTCTTTGGATTGACCTCCCGTGTTGTCATGACGTCCACAATGGCTCCCTCCAGCCACTGCACGTGGTGCCCCTCTACTCTTAACACCATCCTCATCACCCTGCATCACTCTCCAGCTTAGAGCTCAGGGAGTCTGCGAAATTCTCCTATACCCCTTTAGATCAGGCACTCCTAGGCTCCAGCACTACGCTGTGTGTCTCTATTATACCCAGCACATGTTACTCTTGTTGTTTATGGATTTATCTGTCCCCTCCAACAGTTACAGTTTCCCAGGAGGAGATATTCCATTCTTGCTGGTAACGACATGTGTTGTTTCTAAATGCCTGCCAATCATTCATGTTTCTGGCAATGGATCCCAACTGCCTTTGGAAACTCTTGAATTCATATGGCTCATTCAGGTGAACCCAAACCCCAATATCTTTTTTTTTTTTTTTTTTTGAGAGGTTTTTGCTACAGGGCGTGTGCACTCACCAGACAGGCAGAAAGAGACAGAGATAGAAAGTGAGAAATCACCCCCCAGGGGGGATGGTCATGCCGCAATCCCTTCTCCTCCATTCTCCTCTCAGGATCTTGGGCACGCACGCACACGCGCCCAGCGTGAGTTTTAAGCCACTGGGTCCGGGACGCGAACCGCGGTCGACTAGATGGGAGTCCAGTGACATAGCCATTACGCTAACTGCTGGTTCCAACCCCAATATCTTGTGTTCCTGGCATCAGTGATGGGTTAAGAGATGGGCGCAATGACTCAACCTAATTAATATAAAGTTCATGAGTTCTAGCTTCAGAGACATCTGGATCCAGGGGCTTGAAGAATTTATTCATATTCTCTCAACAAGATGACTAGACATGATTCTACCCTATCCTGACACTTTACTGCAGCAATGTGAAAAGGAGCTCTCATCACCAGGCGGTAAACCCAGGAGTTTTCAGTGGCTATATCACCACTCCAAAGGGAGAAGCTTCCTCAGATTGGAAACCATCTAGGGGAAGACAGACTGAACGTGAGAGCCAGGGCAACTTAGATGCCATAGAAACACTGCAGTCTCAGGGCTGAGTCTCGCACTACTCTCCTCTGGTGACACTCATTCCTTGGTGGTCGCATAAAATCAAGGCTTAAACATCGACTAGACTTACGGTCCCCAAATCTGTATTCCTGACTAATTTCTCATTGCTAAATTCCAGGCTTTTGTTCTTACTGTGAACCTGACATCCATGCTTAGACATCCAATGGGCTTTTCAAACCCAGTAAGGGAAGACCCAACCTCTGAGTCCCCTCAGCCTCCTCAATAAATGGCAGCTGCATTCTTTCTGCTCTGACAAGAACTTGGCATCTCCTTTGATGACTCCTCACATGCCCCATTTCCAGCCATCAGTAAATGCCACCAGCTCCTTCAAACATCTGCATCAACTGACTCATCCATCCGCCCCCTGTGCTCTCATCAGACCCAAACTGCCACTCTCTCTTCCTGAATTAGTTTAACGGCTCCTCCTCTGGTGCCCTTGCAGCGAGTTACTGCCACCCAACAGCCAGCACCATCAGAGCCCAGCTTCTCTCTGCTCCAGTGGCTCCCAATTTCTTTGGATAAAAGCCCAAATTTTATAATGGCCTCCAAGATGCTACGTGCCCAGGCCCCGTCCACTCAACCTTCGCTTCCCGCAGAAGACTCTCCCTTTGCTCAGTCTGCTTTGGTTTCGGACACACCAAACATGGCCCACCTCACGGCCTTCACTGCTGCTGTCTGCTCTGCCGGGAATGCTCTCCTCACATCTCCATGGCTCTTGTACCTTCAAGTCTCTGCTCACAGACAACCTTAGCAATCGAGACCTTCTCTGAGGTCAGTGTTTCCTTTTAAGTTTATGTCTGTCCTTCATAAGAAAGAGAATGACAGACACTCTAGACAGGTCCTCAGTGGCCAATCCTCCCCCAAGCCCTGCAGCTAGCCATGATGAGGTAGACCCAGGATGGGAACCTGGAGCCTTCGCATATGGTCACCTGCTGCTACTGCCTGGGCCACAGTGGCCAGGCCCAAACAAGATATTATCACAATAGCAGCCCCAGGGCCAGCAGATGGTGTAGCAGTTACATTGCTGGACTCAACATGGCTGACTGTGGTTTGAATCCTTGCACCGGTGGCTTGAAACTCACATCAGGTGTGTGTGCATGTGTGCTCAAGATCCCAGGAGGAGCATGGAGAAGGGACTGTGGTGTGGCAAGTGATTTCTCACCTTATCTCTCACTGTCTCTGCCTTTGTCTCTCTGTTGAGCACATGTGCCCTAAGGCAAAACCTCTTTAAAAATAAAAATAGACCTTCTTCTCCCTTCCTCAAGGTTCGCTTTCTTGTGCCCTTACATTTTAAAAATAGCATTTGTTGTTACGTGCTATCTTACAAATTTAGGCTTTTCACATCAGTTTTACTGCATGCCATTCCAGGAGACATCAGACCCTTAAGAAGAGGCAGGGGCCAGATGGTGACACAGCTGGACTCACATCAGGAAGGTCCTGGGTTCGCATCCTGGGACCTCCCTGATCACTCCGGGCATGTGCTTATAACTGAGCTGGCTGAGACTGGGGCTGGACCATGGCATGAAGAGCCTGGGGAGAAGGAGGGTGTCCCGATCTGTCACGTGTACACATGCAGAATGAATAATAAATAAGCTCTGAAAAAAAGTACTTTGTCAGTGTTATATACTTTTGTATTCTATTACCTCAAAAATACTTGGTACAAAAAGGAATCCTATAGTATTTATTGAATTAATAATTAATTTATTTTGAGAGAGAGATTTTTGCTATAGGGCACGTGTGCTTGCCGGACAAAGAGCCAGAGAAACAGAAAGTGAGAAACCACCCCCTAGGGAGATGACCATGCCATAATCTCTCCTCCTCCATCTTCCTCTTGGGATTTTGGGCACACACACATACGTGCCTGGCGTGAATATTAAAGCCACCGGATCTGGGACTCAAACCGTGGTCAACTGTGTGGGAGTCCAGCAACATAACCGTTACGCCATCTGCTGGTCCCATAAGTGAATTTTTAGAGTCCTTTAGCTTTCCTACAGGTGGAACTCGTGGGTTTTCAGCTGTGAGCTGGGGCTGACCCTACCTTGAGCATTTGCTGTGGGAATCTGACCCAGGTGTCCTCTCCATGTCACCTCCCTTCCCCCCCGGGTCACAGCAGGTGATGACGTGGGTGACAGAGGGAACACGGGAGCGAGTGGTGGGGCAGGAGGAGGAAACAGAAGGGAAAGGGGAGAGAAGGACCCATAGAGACTGCCCCTGGTGTGGTGGGAAAGCCTCCGGTGCAGGGCTGGGGTCCCAGGGTCCCGCCCGCTCACCGATGGCCAGCGTCATCACCCGGAGGTGGCTGCGCACCGCCCTCACCACCTCGCTCTTCTGCAGGGGCGTGGCGCGGCAGCAGACCACAGCCCGGCAGCACGCCGCCAGCTCCAGGAACTGCCTCTGCAGATGCTCCTGCAGGGCAAACTCCAGGGTCTTCCCCGTGATGATGAGGCCAGCCCGCGGCCCGGAGTTCGGGGGGACAGGAGGCTCCAGGAGATCCTCGCTTAATGAAGCTCGCGGTGGAGACGCAGGCTGCTCCTTCTGAAGTTCCTGGAGAATCGTGCCGATCAGCGACTCACAGGCGTCCTTGAACAGGGGGCGAAGACAGTTAGCTCCGGGGCGCCCTCGCTGGCTGCGGCCGGCTACGTTGTTCACTGCCATTTTATTTTATTGTTACAGGGTGCGTCTGCTCGCCAGACAGAGACGGCGAGACAGAAAGTAAGACATCGCCCCCAGGAGGGATGGTCATGCTGCAATCCCTTCTCCCGCATTCTCCTCTTGGGATTTTGGGCACGTACGCACATGCACCCAACATGAGCTTTAAGCCACCAGGTTCAGAACTCCAACCTCTGTTGGTCCTGTGGGAGTCCAGCAAGGTAACCATTGCGCCACCTGCTGGTCCCTCACTGCAACGTTTTAGCCATTGCTGAAGCAGCACAGGTGCTCAGTAACTGGTTACTGTCACAGACTCACAGCGGGGCCACACAGCTGGGGGTGAGGGCAGGGTATGGAAGAAAGTGGAGGAACACATAACCCCTCATCCCCCCCGCCAGACAGTGGCCGCACGAGGCATTCGCTGTGCAGTCACCTGCTCAGAAAGTGAGCCCCAAGAGTCGCTGTCTTGGCTCACCATTTATTAGCTCCTTGACTCTAGGCAAATTCCGTGACCTGAGCCTCAACTGTCTCATCTGGAAAATGGACATATATCCACCGTGATTCCGCACTGAGGACTGAGTGGGAACTCCTAGTAACAGCGCAGCGTAGACCTTCAAATCAGTCATTGCTCATTGTGTTCGCCCACTCACCGAGGATGTATCGACAACATTTGCTATTACTATTATTAAACATTCTAGACACTGAGGCTATGTCAAGGAATGCACTTAATGTTAATAGATCCACAATATATAGTAAGCAAGCTGTCTTTAGGCTGAAACGCGCATGGAACAAGGTTCTGCATGGTTGGCTGACAAAAATGTCACCAGAGGCTCATGGGAAACTAACTTCGTGTCCCTGAGGAGCCGTGGTGTGGTCCACACTCACTGATTCAGAGTTCGGACAACTCCGCAGAACACGAGTGAGACAGGAATCAGGAAAGTTAAAGCTTCTTCCATGCTGGGGCCAGAGGTGGCATAGTGGTTAAGGCACTGGACTCCCACATGGCCAACTGTGGTTCGTGTCCTGGAGCTGGCAGCTTGAAACTCACACAAGGCACGTGTGCATGCGTGCTCAAATCCTGAGAGGAGAATGGAGGAGAAGGGAGTGTAGCAGGGGTGATCTCTCACTTTCTCTCTCAGTCTCTCTAGGGGGCATATACATTCTACTGCAAAAATCTCTCCAAAAGAAAAGAAAGTTTCTTCCCTGCTTGATGCGTCATGAGCACCCAGGGAAATCACAACCTTTTGAAGTCTCCGGCCAAAAACTGGGAATAACTCATCTGCTGCCTTTGTTATAATTGTCCATTGAAATCATGTATGAAAAACCTTTTATAACTTCTAATAAACATCATGAAGATATAAAGTTACAAATCTCAAGAGAAACACTTTCAATGAAATTACAAAATGAAACAAAAAATTAAAGACGAGTCCCGATGGCCTTTACATAACCCAGCGCAGTAAATAACCCAGCATAAAACTGCATTAAACAAACGGGGAAGCTTTCATGAGAAGGGAAATGATGTCAGGCTTTAAGTGGCTACACTGAAATCTACTTTGTACATTTAGGACCAAAGGCGGAGGGATGTGTAAAGCTGGCAGAAATGACTTCTGACACTGGCTGCCACATGGCCCTGCGATGTGACAGGGACAATTCCTTCTCTACAGACAGAGCACTGAGTCTTCTTTAACTCTGAGCGACTCCTAAAGGGTAGAAGAAATGAAAAAGGAGAGGATTTATTTTATTTTGATTTCTTTGAGAGACTTTTGCTATAGGGTGCATGAGCTCTCTGGAGAGACAGAGACAGAGAGGGAGAAATGACTCCCTGGTGGGAAGGCCAACATAATCCTTTCTCCTCCATTCTCCTCCCAGGATCTTAGGCATGAACACACATGTGCCTGGCATGGGTTTCAAGCCACAGGTCCGGGATTCAAACCAGAGTCGGCTGTGTGGCAGTCCAGTGGCTTAACTACTATGCCACCTGTTGGCCCTGAGAAAAGACTTAAAGCACTGACTGAACCTGTACTTGTATTTTTACATATAAGAACATGCATTTTACACACGTGACCTTGAACCATCATACAACCAAATTAAATATATTTGTTGTGTTCGGTTTAGTTCTCTGGAAAATTCACACATGTGGAATAGCTACTGATAATGAAAAATATGTATCTACAATACTCAGGAAATACTTTTGATGCCTTTAAACATAACTGACATATTCATAAATAAATCTCATAATCTAATGATCTTTTTTTTTTTTTTGAGAGGCTTTTTTTTTTTTTTTTTTTTTTTTGCTATAGGGCGCGTGTGCTCGCCAGAAAGAGAGAGACATAGAGACAGAAAGCGAGAAATCACCCCCTAGGGGGGGATGGTCACGCCGCAATCCCTTCTCCTCCATGCTCCTCTCGGGATCTTGGGCACGCACGCACACATGCCCGGTGTGAGTTTTAAGCCACCGGGTCCGGGACGCGAACCGTGGTTGACTACGTGGGAGTCCGGCGACATAGCCATTACGCTAACTGCTGGTTCCCTAATGATCTCATTTTTCACAAAATCTCTAAGTCAGAACGGAACACCGAGAAGTCATTTCTTTTTAGTACTCACTGAGCCCCTTTCACCTGCCAGGAATCACATTAAACAATTTATAGCTGTCCATTTGCTGCCCACCACAACCCTGTTCTATAACGATCGGGACCATGCTCCTACTCCGGGCCCCGGCAGACCACACAGAGTCGCTCATGGTAAAACGCTGCGTCGTGCAAAGCACATTCTAAAGAACCGAACAATCCCCAAATAGGCCGGTTTTTCCTAAAAGCGGGAGATTCCGGTCTACCCGAGACAGTGTTCAACTTAGGCACATCATGGGCTTTCTTGCCTGAAAATGGCTGGCCCTAAACGCTGCTCAGACCCCGTGAGCGCTGATGGGCACCTCACGCCAGACAGCCCTCTGACCTCCCAGGCTTGCTGCCCCCACACGCCTTTGAGCTCAGGCAAAGTGACCCAGATGGCAGTGAGCTCGTCCTGTCCCTCACTGCAGAAGCTAACCAAGGTCTGCTGCAGGGCTCGCGTGCTCCTCCCTCGCCCGGTCAGCTTGGCCGCGTCCTCACGCTGCACCTACCCTGCCTCGGCATGCTTTCCCACGGCACCTGGGACCCTGGTGTCTGGGCGACAGGCCTAACCCCGGCCCACGGACCTGCGGCTGTGCTGAAGAACCTCGTGTTCTGGCTGAAGACCCTGTGAGAGAGGCTGACACCTGACACCGCAGCTCAGGGGTGTAAGCAACTCCCCCCAGGTCACTGGCCTGCTCCGGCTGGCCATGCACTGACCCTGGGCTCACCAGTCACTTCGGCCACATCCCTTGTAGTGACTGCAGTGACTAAGCATCTCCTTGTGCTCAGCCCCCTGCTGGGACTGTGGCTATGGGTCACTGGTCTCCGCTGGCTGGAGTCTCCTCTGTGCTAATGAGGAAAACTGCTCAAAATGAGCACTGCCCCTGGGAACTGAGACCTGACCGCAGACGCACACCAACCACGCACGGCGGCCATCTCAAAAGCGCGAGGCTTGATCCCAAGGAGAAGCGCTGACAGATGTCAGAAAAGGCAGGCACCTGTGATGAAGGGGTGAGCCGCTCACGTCCGACTCTGGGGAAGGAGGGAGGAAGGGTTTCTGAGCAAAATAAACAACAGACAAATCCTGCAGGGAACCTCCAGACTGAGAATGTTCTAGAAAAAAATAAAATGCCTGTGTTACGGGTTAAAACCTCTGTGTTAGAAATTAAAGGTGGGGGGGCGGGTTAAAACCTCTGTGTTAGAAATTAAAGGGGGGGGGGAAGCACTCAGCATAATGGCTATGTTGCTGGACTCTGGACTCCCATGTATTATTGACTATGGGTCAAGTTCTTGGA